ATTAATGCTTTTCCATTTTTGAAAGAGTGTGTAAGTAGATAATGACAGGAAAACATTAGAAAATGTTAATCTTGACTGGGCTTGTAAGTTCCTGAGAGACCCATTTTCTTAACATTTTCTTGACAAGCTCATGACAGTCAATATGCTGGCCTTTATGGATGCTGTTCTTAGACTGCAAGTCCAGAAGGATTATACAGAGTTCCTGCAGGATTTTTTTTTTTTTTTGGTCCTTTTTTTGACCTTTCAGACGGGAAGTGCTTGCTTGATTTTTGATACTATTGTCTTTTTGAGTTGATCTGCCATAGGAATTGATCTCTGGCTCTTCCATTTTCTGTCTTAGACTGGTGATATATTATCTACTTATCTAACTGCACTTATTATGTCTCATTCACATGGCACACGTTACAGATTTTGTAAATTTTTCAGTTTCACTGTGTTTATGAGTCCAGTGTGCTTATAGTCATATACTGTCAAATATCTGTTTAATATCAAAACTGATTTGGACAAGTGGACTCGGTAATGTGAGTATTATTTATACTTTTGGAGGTGATAAAAATAATTATCAGGCTTGTAAAGTCTTCATAATCATTTCAACAGTCTGGAATTTTTGCCAGTTACAGTTTTGATATCATCAGTTCAATTTTTTTTAGTAAATGGTGTACTTCCTGCTCAGTGTTTCTTCTTTAAATCAGTCCATGGTTAGTTAAAGGAAATATATTTCCATGTTAATATTTTTCAGGTGCTCCTTTTTTTTTCTGAATAATCAAAGGTGTTCAGATTTTGTCAACATGACTTTCTACAGCAGATGGATTCTTGTGAAAATCTAATCTTGAGAAAGTTATTCTTGTCTTCCCAATTGCTACCTTTTGAACCTTCCTCACCATATAGTCCCTGGAGTAGCTGAGTATAATTTTTAACATTAATGATAAGGTCATCTTTGTACTTCATAATTTTGAAATTTCCTCCAACTCTGTGATCTGCCTTGTGGCTCTTTTTCCTCAGTCTCATATAGAAGGTTTTCAGCCTTACCTTGCAAGGGCCTTTACATTATGTTTACTTTTTTATTTTTCTCAGTTTTTCACTTTTATATCTTCCTCTATTTTCCTGGACTTTGCAGCTCTTCTTTATCCCCTTCTTTCACAAACATTTTTATTTCTTATACAAACAGGAACTGTTTTTGGAATAGTTTATAGAGCTGTTATCCGCTATCAAATCCTCTTTTTCTGAGATGTCTGTTCAGGTGACTCTATAATCTTTTGTGTCCTCATTACTCATTATCTATGTCTTTGTAAAGCCCAGGTACTCACCAAATTTCATCAACTCTGTTGTGCTGACACCATTCCTTTTCAAACATGTAACATTTCTAACTCCCTTAAATTTAATTCTTGTTCTGTTTAGTATCAATCTTCTTTAGTAGCTATTTTCATCATAGATGTATTTGAATTGATTACCTAACAAAAGTTAATCTCTGGAATGTGTGCTCAGTCTTTTTAATTTTTTGTCTGCCTTTGTAAATAGAACTGAAACTGAAATTACTATTACAGCACTAAAATCCTCATGTATAAGGAAAGAAAAGCAGGGTTCATTCTTTACAAGCCAAACCCTGCAGAGAAAAATGAATTTTAGTACGTTTCAGCAAAAAGGAATGCTATACCTTGTGGGATCAAACCCAGATTTGAAGATCCTAGCCAAATCAATAGTGATATCCTATCATTATTAAGTGATATCCTCAGACCTCTTCCAATCCTTTTGCAAAAGTGCCAGTTTTAGAGAGTTGTAAAGGAGCCTTAAATAATTTATTTCGATAAATGAAGAACTATGCCAGTACAGAGACTTTGCTTACAGAGATTTACAAACCAAAATTTTTAAAAATAGGTAACATAGCAAAGGCTGGAAAATGGGATAGGGATCTATGGCATCCATCTGAGGAGGGTCAGATAGATAATGCCATGACTTACAAGGTCACACAGGAACGCTGATATAACATAGACTTTTGGGGAGTTACTCCATGTTTAATCTTAAAATACCCAGAGAACTGCATGCACGGTGTGGCCAAAGTCTTGTAAGCCATGTATACATATAAAATAATTTACCAAGGCAAATGCAGTTAGGAAAGCCTCTGAGATCCTTTGAGGGGTTATACATTAAGAAAAAGTTTAAATAAAGACCTGATGCTGAGATCTGGTAGCTAATATTCTATACAAAAAGTATGTTATGAAACAAAAGTCACCTTGTATTTTGACTAGAATAGAACTGAAAAGCACTTACTGTGAGCATTATCCCAGAAAAAAGAGTTAATTCAGGTCCTGATTGAATCTAAACATAAATCTAGGCAGAATTCTTTGGAATCAATCAGTCTGTGATCTGATATTTTGGTATGTTTGAGTTAGAATGAATTGCCCTGCTATTATTCAGTATTGATGATATACTAATTTCCCAATGACCAAATTAGGAGGGAAGATTTTTCAAGGAACTGTACCAAAAAAACCCCCAAAACCAAACCTAATTCCTTTTCTGCATAGGTAGTTAAATAAAGAAGCTATCTTCTGTTTGGTTATAGCAGAATGAATAGAGAAAATCAAACCTTACATAGTTTTGAGGTATTCAGATTTCTAAATCGTTTTTTAAAAGCCTCATATACATATATGTATGTACACAAAATCATTGGGAAATGATAACAAAAGTACAATGACAAATGCCATTAAAAAATAGTTTACTTCACTATGCTGTTTGCTTTTATATCAGCACTTCCCTTATTTCCCCATGAATAAAGACTGCTTTTCTGTTTTCACAGAATATCAGCACACCTACGTTTAGTTAGGTTATGAGTGGGTCTTTGTGCCCTAGTGCCTTAGACTTACTAGCATCCCTAGTATTAGCTGTGCCTAGACTAGGGAATACCATTGGTCACATAATTTGTGTTAGCTATTACATATAAAAGACGTATTTGTTGATATTAATATTAATAATATTAATATTTGTTAGGCCATCTAAAAATAAGAATAATGAAGGAAAAGGAATTTGTGCTTTTCCACTTTTATGATATTTTCCTCTTGGAAGCCTTTTCAAAATACTGTGTTTTGTTGTATTTCTTATTGTAAAATGCTAGTCTTGGTCATGTGCATGCAAGTATCTTTACACAATCACTGTGGAGTGTGGTAAATAACGCTGTATGATTTTTTTCTGCAAGGCTTCATCACATATTTTTAATACCAAAACATAAAGCTTTATTAGTACCCATGATAAGTGTGATAACAGTGATAATACTCCTCCAAATTCCACTTACAAAATATCATTCACTAAAAAATGCAGTATCACCATACATGAGATTTTCAAAATATTAATTTTCAGTTTACTTGACTCTTCTCAGAATTTCTTCAGTAACATCCCTGCTTTAGTCTTTTGGGTTTATTCCTTTTTAATTGGAGGGGAAAAGAAGATTATTTCCCAAATATCATTCATTTTTGGCACAAGCATGAAGTAACACACTAAATTGCAGATCTATGATTCTTCCTCATCAGTCTTATATAAGGAGTAGGATAAATAATAACACCACCTTTTAATTCAAAAACATAATGATGATCATTTAGCAACTGATAAGGTAAAAGGTGCTCTCTGCAGACCTTTGTGACACTATATGTTGTCCACAGTCACAGTTTATAGAAATACTTTACAACTGTGACAGACAAGCCTTTAAAAACAGCAAGCTGAAATTATGGAGTGTGAGATACTGATGTCAGAGAAAGGCCTGATAAATTGACTATTTTCAACTGTAATCAGGACTTGAAACAATAATGATGTTAAAGGAGAAGAAGAATTATCTCAATAATACACATTTATGTATTGAGTTTTTTAACTTTTCCAAACTGAAAAAACGCCCCAATCCTCCCCTCAGAAAAATATAACATAACAAAACAAAACAAACAAACAAACAAAACAAGTGTTTCTGGGCTTATTTCCTGTTTTGTTCTGTGCCAAGTTTGCAACACCAAATGTCAGCTCCATATGGAAAAGTACAAAATCTTTTGAAGCCAGCATTATCACTTCATAAATAATCACAGCTAAATACCTAGAAAGATGTTTTTAGAATTCTTTTATTTTCTTCCATTAATTTGACAAACATATGCCAGTTAGTTAAAGGAGCAAATGTTCATATTCACCTTGTAACATTCATTGTCTAGTAGTTGTTACATTCAGAATCTTGTTACTGGCAAGAGAAAACACACCGCTTATATGGAGTTGAGACTTTACTGCAAGCCTAATTAAAATCTTAACCTACTAATCAAAATATAAAACCCAGCTATTACTAGTCTATTTACAATAATGCATTCCTAGTCCAAATTAATACAGGAAAGTCTTATCAATAATATACCATTTTTTTTAATACAAGAAACCTGATTAATATCTAATAATTTTCTCTGGTATTGTGCTCCCCCTTCCAATGCCCCTCTGGTTCTAAAATTAAAAGCACCAGACTTCCTCAAGAAGAATCAGGGGTGGGGGACATTTACAGCAAGTCATCTGTATGCTGAGGTCTTCACTGGGAGGAATACAATGTTTATAGTGGGAATTTCTTCCTCAGTCTTGTGGTTGACCTTTTGGCTCGTCTTCCAGGGAATTTCCTTATATCTCTTTCTTTTTGTTTCCTACCTTCAATTAACATAAATAGCTACTGTTTGTTACACAGTGCCCAGGTTTGTCAAACCTTTACTATATCGAAGTCAGAAGTTAGGTCAGAAAATGGTCACTTGACCTCCAGATGACTGCTAAAAAGAGGTAAACCAGCTCTGGCCAAAGCAAGCCCAGAGAGGGCTGAATGCTGTGCAGTCAGACTAGTACATAGCCTGCAGCCTTTTACTACTAAGAGCAAAAAATAATATTTACTGGATTACGTGTTTGTATTGTTTGTCAGGACCATCAAACCTAAAAGAATGGAAAAATTTACTGATATCTATTTGTAAAGAAATGTTTCTTCTTTTTATGTCATTGTTTTATTTTAGCCTGGGAGCAACAGTACAGTTCTCCTGCGATGAAGATTATGTGCTACAAGGTTCAAAAAGTATCACCTGTCAGAGGATAGCTGAAGTTTTTGCTGCATGGAGTGATCATAGACCTGTGTGTAAAGGTAAAGAGGAATTCTTACCCTTATAGTGATTTATTAATTTCACATCTATCGTTTGATAGCCAATCCTATTAAATTAATATTTTGTAAGTACCTGAAGTTTTAATCCTAGTGCCCCCACTTTCTCAGTAAAAAAGGTCCCACCTATACTGTTTTGTTTAATATAAATTTTGTCTGTAGTTCAGTATGCTTATTTTACTTGGGAACTTACATTACGAAGTTCACTTCATAATGAGCTGATGAAAATCTATCACATGCTAAATATTAAGACTCACCAAGGTGAATTTCAAAATTGCAGTGATTCAATATACAATCAGTAGTTCATGAAGCATCTTCATTACACATTTGCTATGAAGATGAGAAAGACTTGAATTCAGGATTGATAAGGACTGGAGAAGTAAGTCTATATCTGGTTTCGACCCTGACCAAATGGATAAAGGGCAAAAAATACAGAAAAATGTAAGAGAAGAAAAGCACAAAGTCATTCTTCTGAATATATTTGATGTCCAAATACTATGGCAAGAAGTATGATGAATACCTGAATCAGGGAATGAAAGTATTAGTGTGTGTATATATAAATTATATATATATTAGTATATATAATGAAAATACTAGTGTGTACATATACATGTAAATTGGCACAACAGCAAAGCCTAATATTGAAGAGTACAGTTTGTTCACAAAGAACACTTGGGTATAGGAAACAGAAGGGACATTATCTTGTAATTCAGGGCTATGGATACTTATACTAATGTCCAGGGAGAACTGTGAGATGTTTCTGAACAGTGGAGGAGGGCAAAAAAATCTGAGGGTGGTATCCAGATGGTGTATAGTAGAAATCACAAAAGCTGGAAAATTGCATGGGTGATTTTTTTTTTGGCTGATAAAATACCAGGACAGTCTAAATGGGACTCGCTATGGATAAGAATGAAGTGCTAGATGTAGGTTGGAATAATCAGCTACCCAAATCTGAGACGAAGAAAAACATAATAGGTGTTACAGCTGCAGAAACAGGTTTACAATGGATCATGACAGTATATGCTTCAATAATAGCATATCACATAAAAAAGTAAAAAGTTTAGTTATAGACGTATAAGTACACATAATATTAACATTTTCTATCCCACTACTGTATGTATGTATAATTACTAGAAATTGCTAAAGTGATACACACATACACAGACATGCATACACAGCAGAATTAATCATGTAATGCACATAAATGAAACCTTTATTTATAGTAAAACTAGTAAGGCTTTATCTACTAGAGTTTTTCGGCATATTCATATATCCTAAATTAGATACCTATCTTAGGACGGTAGTCTCCTAATCTTCCAGTGTAACCAGATGGGTGTTGTATACTTGTGTAAGGGTGTTCACATGCACTGTTAAACAGTGTGACAGCATCTGTTAGTCTTGTCTGTGGATTGCTTGCTGGAGGAGGTTGTCAGACACAGCTAATTAAATCAAGGATCCCATCTCCCACCTCAGGTGCCTAAAGCTATGCAATGTGAGTACCCCTGATTTTCTCCGCTATGGAAATGAAGTTTCAAGAAAGGTGTGGACCAGTGAAAATAGGACAGAAGAAAATATTAAAAAGGATCAAAAGTCTCTAAAATATAACTTAATATAAACAAGTGGGAAAGAACTGGGCTGCTTTGATCTAGAGAAAGAAGAATCCAGAGAAAGAAGAGGGAAAGCGTAAAATACAATGGGCTACAATTCTGCAAAAGAAGGTTTATGGTCGGACAGTAGCAAAACTTTCTGAAGTAAAGAATATTTAGGTATGTGAGTAGAAGTTTTCAAGAACGTGTGAGATATACAGATATCCAGGAGAGTTTAAGTACATCTAATCTCATCTTGAGCTGGGGTAATGGACTAAATACCTTTTCAAAATTCTTCCAATCCCTGTTTTCTGTTTTTTATAAATGAAGGAACACCCAGATTTCAAAACTGATTTATGAAAAAAAAAATCATCATTAAGATCACATGTAAGTGTGGTTGCATGTCAGGATTTATATATTTCTTGTATGATAACCATGATAAAATGACGTTCTAAAGATTCTTGGCTTTCATATCCCACATAAATGGTAACATAAATAGTAACTGTACTGCAAATCTTGCTATCCTCTGCGTATTATATATTTGATAATACGATTTAGTAATCTGTCATTGAAAAGGCACTTTAAAAGGAAAGCATACTGCAATTAGAATTTCATTTATCAATACCAAAATACAGTTGCACACTGTCAGGTTTTTTTAAAAAAGTATCTCTCCTAACAGACAATGAAGTGTTATCAGCAGTACTGTGATAAGACTGAGATGTATGCATAGCTACTTGTAAGTTTAGAAAGGCAGCTCATTAGCTTTTGGGGACTATGGCCTTCAAGCATAAATAGTTGTTAAATATATTGCGTTTCACTCTTGTATAAGTTTTGAATTCCGAATAGCAGCAGGTATCAAAGTACTTAAGTATAAAAGGGTAACCACATTCTTCAGTCCTTTTTTGATTTTTTTCCCACTATGACTATATTTAGAACCAACATTGTATAATGATTCACAAATCACATTTGTAAACATGTCTAATGATAAAATAAGCATTAATACTGAACTAAAAAGAAAAAGAAAGCAATAAATCCACTGGAAGCTAGCAGTTCTGATAAACTTCTATCTAAATGTGAAACTGCAGAATGTGTACTAATTAAATATCCAAACCCACCATTGTTCATAGGTAGAACATGTAATTCACAACCAGAAGGACAGTGTTTCATCTCTTTACACTCACCAACTTCATAGAACTAGCTAATTCCACCTTAAAAAGCAGAGGACCAATATTAAGAAAGTTATTAGGAATTGATACGATGCCATATGGTGAAAAGCCAGACAGATGGTATAGATATTATAGTTTGTCAAATATGAAATGCTTTAGAGTGTCATTAGTTGCATTAAAATTACTGATTTAAGTACCTTTGGTGTGCTATCAATTTGGTTCTTTTGATTAACAAGATGTTTCAATTAGACTTCTAGATATACTAAAGCTGGAATATAAACATTTCTTCTAGACTAATAATTATGTCTTCTCTAAGTTTCATGCACAGAACATACAATAAACATTTTGTTTATTGTGAATTTTGCATAAATAACATAAATATCATGTAGTAACATGAAGACAGTATATGCAAAAATATGTGTGCATCTGCTTGTTGAACTTGCATGTTTGTATACAAACCGTTTGGGCAAATAAATTAGGCAATCATATAAATGTTATTTTATGCAAGAAATTAATATTTTCTTGTGAACTGATGCAGCTTTGCAGATAACAAGGGCACAGGTGGTATATTAGGTACTTCACCTGTTATTCTTTAAAATGTCATTTAAAGTGCTGCTTTTGTAATGTGTTGTTTCCTATTTGAACAGTACAGCTTGCAATTTGTCGTGGTTTAATCTCAGTCGGCAACTCAGCACCACGCAGCCGCTCGCTCACTCCCCCCCACCCGGTGGGATGGGGGAGAGAATTGGAAGAGCACAAGTGAGAAAAACTCGTGCGTTGAGATAAAAACAGTTTAATAATTGAAATAAAATGATAATAATAATATGATAATAATAATAATACACAAAGCAAGTGATGCACAGTACAGTTGCTCAC